GGGGACCTTGTTGGGTTGGCTGGTTCCCGTCTCCAAGGCAGCAGGGGTAAAGGGGATCACCTTGAGCCGCCTGCCCTGTCTCAGCTCGATCCTGCCTTCCTGACAGAGCTACGCACGGTTATGGGCTCAATCAAAAGCAACGTGAATCCTCAAGGCCCCAGAGCACGTGGTGGGGGTGGGCTGGTGGCAGTGTCACTAGGCCTCGCTGGGCATGAGGTAGGTGAAGGCCGCGATGACCAACGCTCAGCCCCCAGCCACACTGCCTCGCCCAACGGCTGCCCCGACTCTACAGACACAGAGAGCACAGCAGAAGAGCAGAGCACAAGGGCTACAGCCCCGACAAGTACCTCCAACAACCACCACCTCCACTACCAGACCCCAGCACTGCCCCGCAACCATCCCACTTCCAGCCCCAGGCGGGCCAAAGACTTGGAGTGGGAGAGAGCGTGTCCTGTGCCCCCCACCATAGCAAAGAGGAACCCTGTCTCACCCCTTTCTTCCAGGGGGACTGTGCAGGTGTTAGACAGGGATGGCCGGGCTGTGAGCTCCTTCCACTGCCAGCACTGTCGCATCCTCTTCCTTGACCATGTCATGTTCACCATCCACATGGGTTGCCACGGCTTCCGCCAACCCTTTGAATGCAACATCTGTGGCCACCGCAGCCAGGACCGCTACGAGTTCTCGTCTCACATCAGCCGCGGAGAGCATCAGGTGGACTGAGAAAAGGGGATAGTAGACAAATTAGGAGAGGTGACTGTTGCGCTTTAAAGTTGTAGGCTCCTGTTTGTTCTGCACCAGATCAGTTGCTTTAAATCCCTAGTGTAGGTAGAAGGATATATGGTTTTATTGTGAGGATATTTATTAAACTAAAGTGAGTAAAACAATCTTTTTACCGCATCATTTAAAGTTCAGTGGAGGCAAAATACATTCTATGATTGATTGCACTCCCATATCAAATCATCTGGCAAAACAACTGGTTTTGCTTCAAAAGTGCCTTCTTTGGGGATTTCCTCTCGACTTAAAAAAATGGAGGGGAAGTGGTGCTCAAAAAAACTTGACTAGCCATCTTTTGCTAAGTGATTTAGTTAGCACCTTTTAAAGGTCATGTGCACAGGCTGTTAAGGAAAGCATGGCATGTACATTTGATTAATTCTATTTGGTACGCTAAGAATGCACTAAGAGCTTTGTCTTTGTGGTTGAGGAGGGTACTGTGTCGTGTGTCAGGTAAGCCTAATATGCACTGAGAGCTTTGTAGCTCTGGGTTTAGGAAAAGCTTTTGTCACAGACAAAGCACAGAAATGGATTGCCTTAACTCTTACAGTAGTGTGTTGCTGTGGGAATACATTGTTTACAGCATGTGTGAAGTCACCTCAATGCTTCACAGAGAGACAAAGCAGTGAGACTATCAGGACAAAATGAAATTGTGAGGGGAAATGAACTTGAAAACATTTTAGGGCCTTCAGGGCTCAGGCTTAGAACAGTTTTTTAGGATTTTAAAGTGAGCCTTAGAATACTGGTGCAGATCAGACCAGGAGCCTTGTCATGAGATGGCCCAGAGTGCTTTTACAGGATTGCACTTTTTAGGTTCCCTGCTTATATATGAACATCCATGCCTAATCACTTGATGGCTTTACAATTTGATTTTTGTTCTACTGCACTGATAAATTGCATAGTAATCACAATAATTGATCATCTAATTTGCAACACCAGTGTATTTTTAACAGAGCTGACATTTTACAGAAACCCACCATGTGCACTGGTTCTGCAGTCTACACTCAAGTTTGCTGCAATGTGTAACTGAGAATTAAAAGATCTGTTAAACTACAATCGTTATTTTGTGGTTTTGCACTCAGCAGGTAAGGCTGAGGTTTTAAACAGTTTGCATAATGAGAAAACAAATTAATTTAATTAATATTGAAAGATTAACAAATCAGTTTGGATCTGTCAGTTATCCCTTGTGATTATCTATTTAGTGTTGTTTGTTTTAGCCTTGGTGTATTTAATCAGCTATATTCCAAATCTTATCCAGCATATTCCTCAAGTCCATGAAATGTTACCTCCTGCTTCTTTATAGCACCCGAATACCTTATTGCTACAGTATGGTGAGTTATCTGATAATGTTAATATTGGGAACATGAATGACACCAAACTCAGTATTCTTACTTGTTATTGTTGGTTTGCTGCTTCATAGCTTAACTTAATTTCCTTCGATTGCAGGCAAAAATATACTTGAAACTGTTCGAGAAAAAAGTAACCTAAAAATGCACTTGGTTTGATAAATAGAGAAATGTGTGTGAATGGAATATAGCATGTGTGCTTGTCATTTTCTGCTTTTCCCTGGATTGCGAATTATTTTTGAAAATGTGAAGTGATTTCAAGAAGTGAAAATGAGGCATGGGTTTTTGTCTCCTTGTGTGGACTTTTCAATGTTATACGATATTTTGTGAAAGATGTAACATGACAAAACACTTTACCTCAAAGTTAAAGATGTAAAACTGCCTCATTATTTTAACAAGTCGTGTTGCTTTTCAAGATGTTCTTGCCGTTACAAATGCGTGCCCCTTGATATTCACAAAACTTTTTACTGTCAATAAAGTTGAGTTTATTGTTAAAGTGATTTTCTGGTTTGACTTATACATTAAGAGTTTTTCCATCAGTTTCTCAATGAACAAAATGTCTTAAAAAAACATAAAATCGTAAAACATATTATATATTGTCACCCTAAAGTAAATATTATGTATTTATCTATTGTATTTTCCAGTGTTGCTTTAATATATTTGAACTAGTTTTTAATATATTTGAACTTTAAATTGAATGTTAAGCCTTCGAAGATAAAATAAGCAGTTAATTTCTTCCGAGAAACACATTTGAAAACAGGAAAATGTTAAAAATGAATAAGGCTTAAAATAGTCTGCATTATATTCACACCGACATTTGGCCTTTGTGACTTTTGTAATGTCAGATTCAGGTTGCTTTTGACCTTTTTCCCCCTGCAGTGGAAACTCTGTGTGCGGCGGCTCCTACATACAAATTCCAGGTGCAATTCAGAAAGTACATAAAAAAAGACAACCCTTTCAGTGAATGGCAGCCATCAGAAGTGCAAATAACCAAATTATGTAAAACCCACATACGAAAACACAGCGTATTCTTCCTTGCTTTGACAACACGCATTGCTGCAGTGTGTGACCTTAAATGCACCCATCAGTATTGAAGTGAACTGAAGGAGAGTTCAAGTGTTTTAATTTGAAATGTTTCTAATCCTTGACTACAATTCATAACCACTTCTTAGTGTGTCTATCACTAGATTTGGAGAGACTTTTGTTATGTCAGTTTCAGGTTGGTTGTTTCTGCAGTGGAACCATTTGAAAACTCTGCTCAGAACCCCGTTTTTTTCCGTCTGCAGTGGAAATTCTGTTGAGCTCCTACAAATTCCGGGGTGCAATTCAAAAATTATTAGCAAAGCCAGCCCCAAGTGAATGAAACCAATCTTCATTTACAAAATAATAATTACATGTAAAATCCACATATGACTACTCAGAATATAGTGTCTCACTTTGACAACTCACACTTCTAGATCTAAGTGACCTTAAATGCCCCCATTTGTACTGAAGTAGAATTTTAAAATGTAAATTAGATTTCAATTTGCTGACCTTTCACTACACGTGCAAATCTGAACCATTTGTTAGTGCAAATTTCACTGGAACAATAAACAAAACAAACAGCACAAGGAAATACAACATTAATTAATTCACGGCTTCTGAATGGGGAAACCCTTTTTCAGTCAGGCTGTCACTGCCTCTAAAAACATCAATATTTTTTTTATAAAGATAAGAGATGTTGAAACTATTTAATGTACACATGATGGGGGATTTCAATCATTAAAAGGTAAGGATTTACTTGAGAACTTGAGAAATATCCGTACTTGTGGTATGCACAGATTTTACAATTCTGAGGAAATAATCTGCCCACAATCCCTATTTGAATAGACTGAGTTTTAGTTGTGAATTTACGTTTACAAAGAATTGCCTTTCAACAGGAAGCTTTCGGTAAGCTTGTTCTTTTGATTCATTCTGTGATGTGTTAACCCACCCAATTTACAATACAAATATTACATACAAAGGGGACTAAAGTACAATAAAAAGAGTTGTCTTGTTTTTCCATTTTAGCTACTACTACTATATTGTATCTATGTGGAGTCACTGAGTCACATGATAAGAAAGTTATTTAAAATAAAAAGAATATTATTATATTACATAGATTTATATTAAACAGAAAAAACACTGATAAACAACAACAAGAGTTGTGTCCTACCTGCCCAGTGGTGTAACACAATGCTGCAATTATTGGTGTCTTTGGGTCACAAGACCTGGAAACAGATGAAAAAAATATCAGTAAAAAACAGCTGAATTTTGTATTTGTTTACTAAATGAATTGCTACAATTGAAAATAAAGTCGATTTGGGTCTTCTTAGGTCGGTGTTCAGGAGGGGCGGAATGGGACTCAAAATCAGCCCTGGAATCTCATATTATTTAAACGGTAGCCGAATGTATTGATGGTCCCTAAGTGAACCCCTGAGGTTAACATCTACTGTATAAAGGTGGTTCAGATCGAGGCCTCGGATGTGAGCTAACCGTCCTACAGACACTGTGAAACTGGGGAAGAAGACGCCACTGGATAACTGGATCCAGAGTGAATGTCTGTCAAACACCAACCTGAAATAACTGATTACCATAGTCACGTCCTTGGCTTTTCTTTTTTAATTTGTTTGTTCAAAAAGTTAGTAACAACGTTACATCAACACACATTGTGAGCACACCGTTAGGCCTACACAGCCACACATTGTGGATGGTGAAACAAGCTATGTCAGTTTCTGTAAGAGTACCTACTAAGTTGTTATATTCTCCCTTTCTTTATCTTTTCCCACAATTCTGCCACATAGGTACTTTATAAACTATTTGTGTTAGGAAACCCAGGATTGTATGCTTCCTGTGTTTTAAAGCAGCTTATACGTTACGCTAACGTTAGCATTACTGCTCCGCTCACCTGAGAAGTGACTCGAGACCTCAGGTAAGTTAACTGCCCATTTAACATAATTTAACGTCAATGTATTGTATTATTTCCGTTTTTTTTGAGACTATCATAAACCTTGTTTTAGTCAAGGATATTAATATGTCGTCTATCGGCTCACTTTGTTGTTGGGACACTCGAGCAGAGGAAACCCATTGTTCCCTCCTAAAGTCTCCTAACTGTAAGCGTAAACAAAGGCAGTTTAACCCGTCTTTCTGTTCTTGTAGCATATATCTTCGTCTTTTTTTGTGTGCCATTAACTTTCTCAACAAGTGTGTCACTTCTGCAGTGCAAATATAGATAGTTTTGTTTGATACTGTGTAACACGACATTTATTTCACTAGATGGCAGCACTGCTCTTTAACGCTGACTTGACAGGGCCATGTCTTCTCTTTGCTCTGCTGGGCAGCACTTTTTAGCATGCGCTACTGCTGCCTGCAGTTGTAAAACATACAGTGAATTCCAGATAATAGGTTTAGCTTATATTTTGTGCATGTTCTTGCGGCATGTTTCCCCACACTCCCCATTCACCCTAAATTAGAGACCACTGGGCTTTTGGTAACTGAATTGTAGGCCTATGTAGAATGTGTTCAGCAATACATTTGAAATGGTCGACTACACTCCTTTGTAGGCCTACAAGTAAATATATTGGCTCATTAGTTAGCATTATTGTCTCAAGGATGTTTTGTGTTAAAATTCCAGAACAAGTACTTATTAAGGTGTGCTTGTGTGAAGCAATCTTTCCTCAGATACTGTATATCTCCTATCCTTATCATTCCTTCTCCAGGGACCCACAGGAGCATTGCAGGTGAAATATAACCCTGAAGATGAAGTCTTGTTATTTCTCTGAAGACCACATTTTTTCATAAACAAAAAAGGAGACCCCTTAGAAAAAATATCCACCCCTGCAGTGCAAACACACTCCCACACTATTAATATCTGGATTAATGTGCGGACAATACAGTGTACAATTCACCTGACATATCTTACATTTGCAGTTCTCTATAAGCCACATTATTAATCTATCTTCTAAACAGTAAATCAATTAGAATTTTAATAAACCTAAAATCCTCTGGCTGATAGATAAATGTGTAACTGGTAGCCTATCAAAATAAAAACAATTATTATATCACGCAAACACACCCATTTGCCTTTTTAGATGATCCAGATGCTAGAAAAGTAGCTAGCAGCCAAGCAAAACCAATTTGTCTTCCAATGAGCTGCTTACTGGAGCTTTAATGGGCTACAATATGCATGTGATATTAATTAATGGCATTTGTGTGCCATTTCAAATATACAAAGAATGTGTTTATTTTTCAACAGCTAAGTGTCAGCCAAGGACACATTAGGGTGAACCCAGCATACAATTATTATTTTGGTGGTCTCGTCTGCAAGGCAATGCTGAGGGTTCAGTGTCCATTCAGCATTTGTTGATAGCTGTAGCATCCCAAATTATGACATTTTCATAATTTAACTCTGCAATTTGGTCAACAACATGCCACATTTTATGTCCCTAAATTAAACACATTTGTACATCAAATCAAAGCACTTCTGCAGTGTAGCTCACCCAGCTTGTGTTTGACACTCACACAGTACTCATTTAGGCGCCAGAAGGAAGTTTCTAGGGTGCAAAATGTACTGAAAGCTTGCTGGCACACTTTGTAGGACAGATCTTGCTCTGGAAGTGATTAGGGTGAGTATTTTGCAGAGAGACAAGGGCGGGTGGGAGCAGTATCATGTGTGCATGCGTGAGTGGGAAATGGAGAAAGAACTTGTATGTGTTTTGAGAGAGGGAGATTGGGGCGGTTCAGTTATGCAAGCAGTTCTCAGTATGCATGTAAATTGGAAGATGTGTGGCTCCTGTGGTTGGCTGTCCCCTGTGTCACTGCCTTTTAAAAAAACAGTTGCCAAGAGAAAGGTCTTCTTTACAGGCTTTGGCTGCCAGATGCTAGGGATAATGGATAGGACTGCAGAAAGAAAGATGGAGAGGTGCGTACAGCCAGCCACACACGCATATGAATACACACACACATTCACACGTTGCACACTTTGTGGGCAGGGCTCTCCATAATGCTGAGATAAGGCGTGAATAATTCATCTTGAAGTTGTACAACTGCCACACACACACGCACACATACAACCACACACAGGGGAATAATTAGGCCTAGTAAGTCATGTCACACTAAGTCGATTGAATGAGCATATGGGTTGGGCATGCTTACAGATTCCAGAGGTGGCACATTTTGTTGATGTGTGCATAAGGGAGTAGTTGTGTGTGTGTCTGTGCAGCCGTGAAGCGACACATGGGGCGCCAGTGTGTGAATGCCATAATGTGTCTGCGAGAGCAATAGCCAGTGACACAGGAATGTGTCATAGTGCCTGCAAGCCACTCAGCTCCTAAACTGCAGCAAATAAACATTCCTCTACTGCTGTGTCAGTGCTGAGCCCTCGCCCACTGTCGCTGTAAAACACAGCTTGTAATTAAAACCAAAAACTGAGCATTTTTCCTTTTGTTTCCAACAGTATTACTACAATAGAGGGCCCTATGCCTTCAGAAATGTCTCAGTACTGTTTATTGGCATGTTTTGGTCCAGATATGTGTCAAAGTGAGCCAACTGATAATAAATCCATCAAAATCTTTATTGGTTCAGTGCAGTTACAGTAATTCTGACTTACTGTGGTTAATCATAGTTTACTGTGTAGCACAATTATCTCACATCTAGTAAGAAATTCAGTAACTGTACAAAAACATCAAACATACTGACAGTTTAGATTCTGATGAAGATAACTGTTAACATAGATATTGTTGATATAGCCGGACACATATTGCTGTCATTTTATTTATCACAAACCAGTCTGCTTTATTTAAATAAATGCAGGTGTCATCTTTGCTGACAGGTGAAATAATGTGCAGCTTTATGTTGTGTCATATTTCATGACGAATTTCCGAGCTGAAATGCTGCCTTGCTGTACCCATACATTGTCAGATGTCTGTAAACATATTTCACTGTTGGTTGTCCTTGCCCTGTGTCTTTCCCTGTCATTACCACTCTGTTTACAAGAATGCTAACAGTGTTTGCTAGCATAGGATCTCCCTCAGAATATACAGTGGTTTAAAGTCGCACTCTGACGCACAGTTTTCCAACTATAACACTTAATCCCTGTGGAACCGATTCTGAAATGTCACTTTATCCGTTTGTTGTTTCTTGTATGGTCTTGCTAGGTTAACCATTCACAGATGTGTCATTGGGTATTTTAACCTTTTCCTTGTTGGATAAATACTGCCTGTGCAATCCAATGTTTTGGCTGAATGGTACTTAAAGCTGACCATTAGGTATTTGCAATGGACTGAAGACCACTTTCAGGTATTTAGTTAGAGGTGATGTTTCATGGCGATGAGGTGTTTATCTCAGCAGTTCTGGTCGTGAAAAGTATTTAATATCGACACATAATGGGCCAGCAGAGAAAATGGCCTTCAAGCCAAGACTATCAAGAGGTCATGCTGTGTAAGTGCAGAGGGCGGGGAGTGTTGATAAGTCCAAATATATATATCACTGTGTGTGTTGACGCTGCTATTCACAACATCTTCATACACGTGAAGAGTGCTGGCATATCACAAATGCAAAAACACTGCAAAAATATATATCCCTCTGGCCTTTAACTGCAGGGCTCGCTCTCCATCTCGCTCCACAGGGGCGCAGAGCCCGACCACAGACATCATACTGATTGCTCACCATGGTCGAGTGGGCTGTCCACATTCCCACCCTGATTCAGTATGTGCAGAAAAACCCAACAACGGAAAACAGTGGTTTGAGAGTGTCTGGAGGTTTGCGGACAGCAGTGAGTGTCCGCTGTGTCTCTCCTAAATCTATCCTCCTCCCATCCCCTTCGACTGCCCCGCTGCTTACCCCAGGAATATGGGAACAGTCGAGGGCAGACCCGAACTGATGTCTGTGGAATGTTGTGGACTCGAGTCGAGAGGACACTTGAGTGCGTGTATGCGTGTTGTGATGAATGTAACCTTCCCTCTCTCCTGTGTGTGACAGGTTGTGGCAGGCTGGTAGATGATGAAGTGATGGAGATGTTAGGAGGCCACGGCCATTGTGATGCTGGGTGGCTGTTAGTCTGGAACTGCCATCTGCCGAAAGGTCAGTTGCTAGGGGACGATTCTCCTGGACCGTGTCTGCCTCCCAGCTGCCATCCACACTCCCACTCAGATGCACACACACTCAAGTATGCGCTGAAACTCACACACACATGTACACGATTCACACACTCACACTCTTTCCATTCTTTCCTATACATCTGAATTGAGTTTCAGTACGTTTGACTCACTGTAGTGTCCTCTATTAATTTTTTGAGGTGAAGTTGAGATTATTATTATTATTCCTTATGTTTCATTCGTCTATAAATGCAACTTAATACATCACAGCCCATGCCCACAAATGCTTCAGATCATTATGAGTGGTGTAAGGGTGTTTCTGTCATAACAATGTCCCAATTCATTGGCGGTGTGCCCACAATTTTAATGCTACAATAAATTGTTGAGGCAGCACGAAAGTCAAATCAGGATAGTGCGCCAGATCCAAGCCATGCCACATTGTCCATCACGACCACAGTGAGCAGTTCATCATTCAGTGCGGTGATCCAGACCCAATTCTAAATTCCACATTATACGCCCTTCATATTAAAGGCAACTCCACCCAAGGGGCAACATTTTCCCACAATTTAACAGGAATTTTAATAGGAAGCTGCTGAGCCTTCATTGTCCTGTATCATCTCTGCATGTTCTCTGGTGATTGACCTGATTATTGTAAGCAGCACAATGTGGGCAAGGGAAAAGTGTTTCCTCTCTCAAGCTTAAATCATCAAAAACCTTTTTCCTCTAAGTGACACTCACTCTCAGGTCAATTGCAGGCAGTGTGGCTGTAGTTGTTAGTGTCAATTTGCTTAACCCCCTGTCTCTGTAATGATGCTTACTGGCTTCTTTAAAGACAACGCCAAAAAGCTTTTTTCTTTGGGAAAAAGATTTATCCTGATAGGGAAAGGACCATGTCATTTTCCACAAAAACAGTTCACTTAAAAAGTGAAATCATCTTAAATGTTGGCAATACGGTAACAGAGGGGATTTTGTGCCATGGCTATTTCTTTTCTTCATACTTCCTGTCACACTTGTCGTGATCTCCTACCCTTTTTTCCCTCCTCACACCCACACCTCCATCATGCGCTTCCCCACCAGCCTCCCAGAGACAGTGACGTTTGTGTGGTGGAGCTGTTGTTTTTGTTTGTGCCCTCCCCACCATGGCTGCCTGCTCGCCGCCTGGCAGCCCCGTGTGTCAAAGGTGGCTGCAGCAGAACAGACTGTGGGAACAGCCGGTTAGCCTCCCCTGGTCCCCTGCTCCCCTACCAGAGGGGCAGCCATCAATCCAGCACCCCCCCTGCCCCTGCACACACAAAATGCCCAACCAAACACACACTCACACAAAAAGCCTACAACGCTCACACCCTCTCCCAATAATCCTCGGAAGCAATTTCATCTCGACTCGGGTGGCGGCCCATTGTCGCCAGCCCCTTCAATCTTTCCTTATTAACTCTCGCTTTGTCCTGCATCCGAGCTTCTGGACTCATCTCTCCTACATTCCGATCGGGGCTGCTCCCAGCACTCCCAGGCAACCTCCATTCGCTAATCCCACTGCCTCCCCCACCAGCCGCCCCACCCCAAGGAACTCTTACTGCTTTTTTTTCTCCAACCTGCCGATCACCTACTTACAGAGTAAGGTAGGGGCATTAACTCCATGGGTTTTCTGAAGGCAGAGCGTGAAGGCGGGGTGGGTGAAGGAGGAGGCGGCCACAAAGTGACTCCAGCCCAGACAATTAGAACAATGAGCCGGGCCTGTAGGGGGCTAACTCGCTGCGTCACGCCTGGACGGTGGGGTATTTTGTCAGTTTAATGAATTGTCCGTCAGGCCAGGGCCACATCGCAGGCTGCGCAGGGAGAGGCCAGCAGGGACCCAGACACTAAGTCGGTATTTATTACACTGCCTTTGTCACTAATTGAGCTAATTATCACTGACTCCTCAGCACTCCCACAGGCAGCACCCCCTCCACTCACTCTCTCCTCCAAACTCTCCCACCTCACTCTCACGCCTGGGATTTGAACTCTGCCTTCCCTCTTCTTTTCCTTAAATCTGTTTGCCACTTTCTATGTCTTTGGTTTCTTTCTGTGTATCTTTGATCGACTGTTAATTCTCTCTCCAGACAGACTTGTATCATATTCACGTTTCTGACCTGTTGCTTTCCCTTGACTTTTTACTTTCTTTATTATATCCTACTTAAAGCCATATCATATTTGTACCCCTGATGCAGTAATACAAGACAGAGTATTAGGGTTTGGAAGCAATTCAGTGTGTAACTCTGTGAGCAATATGTAATTTAAGTTTTCGTATTTCTCTTTAAGTGGGCCTTCCAACCTCATGTGACCCCAGTATTTTTGATTCAGTTTGGTCTATATTGTTGTTTTTGACCTTTTTATGTTACACCTTCCAGCTCTATATGAACTCTTTCTTTCAGATGCTGGCCATTCACTGCTCAATTTATTAATGTATAGCTTAAATGCTTGCTTTCTTCAGACAAACACATTTACCTCCCTCATTTGTTTTGGGTAACATCATGACTGTAATTCACAGAAAAGTCTCATCCAGATCCCCTATCTCTCTTCCTGCAACTACTTATGTTGCTCTCTTATTTGTGAGTGTCGAGTGTGTGTTGGTGGCCTTACTCATGCTCTATCAGCATGACCCTGGGTGCTTCTGTGCTGTGGTGAAAGTGCAAAGTTCTCCAAACTCCTGTGGTTAGTCAGGTTGCCAGGCGCTGAGGGAGACTAAGATTTTCCATGATTGTTCACACTATTTCTATAGTTCCTTTTCACATTAGGCAAATTAAGCACAATATTCAATTCAGTAAAGTCCTATACTGTATCAAATAAGGTATGTGGCTGGATAAGAAGGGGCCGTCTCTTGTGGTTGGGAGCACAGATGCAGGGATGTTTTGTGAGCTGGAGAAAAAAGGCTGCTTTGGTGATGGTAATAGGATTAGGCGAAGGACACCCAGGGACAGGCTTATATGTTCACTTGGTTGGTTGTCAAAACTATCTCAAACACAGACTACAACAGACATAATGGCATCTTTTGACACATTCAGGAGGGCAACTTAATTGAAAATATAGACTTTATTGTTCTATCATACAATACAAAACCAACTGGAGCCTAAATCCTTTGATTAACATCTAAACAAAACATTTCTTCTTTTACATATCTCTATAACAGTATAAAAATGCTCAGAAATAAATATTTAGTATTTACACTAATAAAAAAGTAAATATTCAGTGCATGAACACAAGTGTTTTTACAGGAACAGAAAAAGGACAGAAAGACGTGATAATGTTTGGTTTCTAGTAAGAGTCGGATTTGTGTCAGCTGCATTACACCTAAATAAAAAAAGATCGAAACATCTCCTGACACTTTTGATAGCAAATTCTCCAGCCTTTGACAGGTGCATAAATCATTCAGCAAACTTACAAATGACATCATTATAAATATATTCATATATTTTAATATTTACAACATTTTGGTTCTAAAAGCTGATATACAGAATCATCTCTCCTGCAGAGGTTGTTTCCTTCAAAGTAAAATGTTATCTGCTGTTAACAGCTTATCCTGGAGTATTACACATACACCTCATTTTAAACCTGCACCAGTTTTATACCACGCATCTATTAACAGGAATGTGTGTCTTTTTGTTCATTTAATATACTCGGAATGGCATTTGTTTTCATTTTTGAGAGAATGGTGAGATTCTGCAGGTCACATTTAGTTTCTTTTTATAATATTGAACCCTCTGATTTGCTAAACTACATCTAGTCATGCTGTGATATTCAGTGTATTGATAATACATTCAAATTACATTGCCTTAGTAACAATTGTTCACTCAGTTTCGTTTTTTCCTGAGTTGAGCACTGGGCCCCAGTCATCAGGACCATCCTGTGGTAAGTCAAGAGTGGTAAATCAGGATTGAAGTGTATTCAACTAGAGAAACTAAATAAAAAGGGCAAATGTGGTGAGGACATTATAAGTGGTTGGGCTGCATCAAGGGCCTAAGTACACAAGTTGGGAGCAGACGGCCCATCCCTAGAGATTAACTTCACACAGTTTAATTTAAGAGAAGCCAAACTTCCGCATAAGAAAAAAAAAAAAAGATCATTTTTTTTCAAATTACTCTCCTCTTGTTAGAGGTCTTCACCAGTTTATGAGAGCACATGTTTGAGGCTCTCTGGCCACAGAAACATCTGTGAAACATTGTGTCCAGTCTCTGCCCTCACTGGGAGAGAAGGAGGCTCTACCTGGTTACAGCAATCGATTCGCCACCAAAACATTTTTCTCCCTTTTTACTACTAAATCTATTTTTCCACAGTGTAAACACTTGAGGGATATGAATGATTTCCATTCTGCACAGATGTTTGTGGTGTTTAAAAACCCTCTTGATATTTTTAGGCATCAAAGGCGAGGAGCAAGCACATGTACTCCCTCTTTACCCTGTTCATATATTTGTGCTTTTCATTCTATTCAAAAACATTGATTGATATTTTTATCCCTGTATCAGTATACCCGCCTTGAAGTTTTCCTACCTAACATTTCAAATCCCTTCCGTGCCAGTGGTTTTCTCAGCCTGTCATGCTAAGAAGTTCTTCTTTGCCTTTCATATGTCGATGTCCTTCTGTGATCATAGACACTGGTGTAACGTTTGTGTACTTGTGCAATTCAAGCAGCTGACATGACAGCACCAGTGGAAAGTGCAGTGGCAACGTTCAGTCACACTTTCGGTCCGGGTCTTTAACCCACGTCCACAGCAGAGCAGCTCACATCCATCTAGGCCTGGAGAAGAGCTGTTGCATGTTCTCCCAGAAGTTCCCAAAGTGCCAGTTTTGCCATTGTAGGAGCAGAAGTTTGGTGATTTCTCAAAATAGACCAGGTCCATGGCAGAGGGTGGTTTGTGAGCAGAGTTTTCAGGCTCCAGATGGCGGGGGTCGGCTCTGTGAGAAGCACGGTTGCTTCCCTTGTTGGCATAAACAACTCTGGATGCACCATCAAACCGGTCCTTGAGGAAGTCTCCTACTGTGCGAAAGCTGGGCAGGCGCATCCAACAGGTGCGCACGGTGCAGGACCCTGACATGCCAT